GGAGAAGGCAAAGACGGTTTTCGGAACTTTTCACAGGATTCACTCACGTATATGGCGTCTCACGTAACGCACGACACTCGAAGGGACATATTCTTTGCTCACTACGACACTCGCAGGTTGGACTGCGCAAGAAGCTCTGGCAGAAGCTGTCGCCCCTTCGGTCCGGGTATCTCGCGTGGAGCAAGGTCGAGCTGGCGGCCTGGCTCGAACACGTCGGCCTTCGGGTACGGCTATCATCTCATATGAACTATTGTCGACGACCCTCCTCAACCGCCGTTTTAAGACATGTTCTGGAGCATTACAACGGTTTACCACCAACGTCACCACTACAAGAGTTTTATCGACCACCTCACCGTGACCATCATTCGCATGCATATTATGCCGGACATCGCTTAATTAACTATCCACCGGCTTGTACAGATCTCGTTCTCCGAAGAACCAGGCCCAACTCGGAGGGCGCCGAGGGATAGATGGCCACCTGTATCAAAATTATCCAAAAAATGGTTACGCGGCCCTTGTTCTCTATGCCTCCGTAACAAATGTGCAAAGCACACGTCAACTCAACATTTTTTCATTGCAGCCGGTGTCAACTGACAACACGGTCGGCCAGGTCGAGAAGTGCATACCACGCGACCACACCATATTACGTGTTTCGCTCCAAGATTCCAAACTACAGTACGTAAGAAGTTTCACAGACAGTACGCCTTCTTTGGGTCCCTCGGGTGCCAATCCCAATGAAGATCCACACCTTCTATCTACTCACTCGAACACTAGGTGTGCGAATTACGCCCTGCTTCGTGACCGTACTCTACAATAGCTTCTCACTGCCTGTGATGCCATGAGCAGGATTTTCAGAGGGCTGTGGTCGAGAAAGACATCGACGGTCGCGTCCTGAGCACAATGACCAAGACCGAGATGAGGTTATTGGCGAGAAACGCTGGGTTGCATAAGGGCTCTCGACGAAGGCTTTACTCTGTGATCGACGACCTCAAGGCCGGCGGCGCGGACGGGGAATGGGTTGCTCTCCACGGCAGTAAGTTGTTGTGGGTGTTGTTCTTGGCGATGATCTTCTTGCTATTGATGTAGGTGTGGTTCCCGTTAATACTGCTGCCGTTATGGTCCGTATTACCTCAGTTTTTTTACGAGTGATGATATGTTGGCGTTTTTCCACCTTGTCCAAGCCAGGTTCATGTCTTCGCTATTTCTCTGTATAAAATAATACGTTGTCTAGAGTTCGTAAAACCTGTAACCTGGCACATCCTTATTGCCTGGGGTGTTCGCGCCTGCACCCCTTGTCCTCCGTATCTCTTAGGCTTCCTGTGGAGGTAGATGGTGGAATCAATACATTTGCAACTTCGCTAATAGTTGAATGTTGCTGAAACGTTTTCATGCATGAAACTCGAGCTTGCGTCCGTTCAAAACGCAACCAACCAACATGTTCACCGGGGTGAAACCGATCCTGCTCTGCCCCACCCGTCCCTACTTGTTTTCAATACTCCTCCATTAAAAAACGAAGGTATGCTGCTCGGTGCACGATACAACGACGACGTCAACGGCGGTGACACCACCGGAGACGCTTGGCTCCGGTCGCCTTACCCGGGACCCTCCGGCCACGACGCTTCCAGTACGTCTTCATCCTCGTCGTGTACTTCACATGACGATTGTGATGGTTCCTGCGGCGGAGAAGGCGGGGAGGGCAATGATAGTAATCCGAAGAGGGCCGATCGCGGTAGACATAATCAACATGACCGTCACAGCCAAGGCCAGCACCGGCACCCTTCGGGCGGCGGGGAGGGCATGGTCGTCGAGCCTCTGGGTGGTGGTGTCAACCGCGGCGAGGAAGCACCTGTGGTTGTAGGGCAGAGCGCGGTGCCGAGAAAGGGCTCTGGGATGTTCACGTTAGACGGTAAGCCGCTGCAGCATGGACTATGCATGTACCCCGCATTTCTACGCTGTACCACACACGGCCGCTCTCTCTATCCTGACGCGCTTCCGATATTCTGATATTGTAGGACCGCATCCGCAATTGGTGGGCATGCCGAAATATCCTAGATGCATCAAGAAAAGCTGCATGAAAGAACCATTGCAGAGAGGGTACCCTCAGACAAGACCGCGCTGGGCTGATCTTCTCACGAAGAAACCGTCGCGATCAATGCGTTTCTCGGTTCCCTCGTGGACAACATATTGTCCGGGGAACAGTGGCTGGGGTTGCCCTCCGACACCAGGAAGTGGGTTCGAGCCTCTGGGCTCGGAGTGTCCCGCTCCCTT